TTAAAGGTTCAGTCATCTAAAGTCAATCATTTCAAGGTAATAGAATCATAGAATGGTTTAGGTTGGAAAGGACCTTGAAGATCTTCGAGTTCCAACCTCCCTGCCATGGGCAGGGACACCTCCCACTAGACCAGGTTGCCCAAGGCCACGTCCAGCCTGGCCTTGAACACCTCCAGGGATGGGGCCTCAACAACCTCTCTGGGCAACCTGTTCCAGTACCTTACAACCCTTACAACCTTACAAGCCTTACAACCAATACATCAAGGCTGATGAACTATCAGTGGTCTACATGCATATTTTGTTTTTAACTTTCTGCCAGTTTATAAGACACTCCTTTTGGATTATTTCCAGGAGGAAATAAATTAGAAAAATAATCTTTTTTCCAGAACAGACAGGTCTTGGAACTTCTCCCATAGCAAACTCTAGAAATGTAGTACTCTCCTCAACACCTGACAATCTTTTTTCAGTGTTGCCTGGCTTTGGCAAGCTTAGCTCCCATTACCCTTTTGCACAGAGAAAAGACTTTCAGCCTGATCTTAGCTCAGAGATTTTCTGTTCTGTTTTCCCTTTTCTTTTTTCACCTCGATGTTTGTCTTCGTTAATAACGAAGCTGGTTCTTAAAAATGCAAGAATGTGGCAGCTTGAAGCAGACCAAAATGGGATAAATCTTCAAGCCGTCAAGGAAATACTGACTGACATCTTAAAATGTCTGCTGCTTTGAAATGCCCCACACAAAACAGGAAATACCACTTTGGCTCTACTACTACAAGAAAACCACTTTGGCTTCCTGTTAGCAGAAAGACATGTCTCATATAAGTGAAGTAAGCCCAGGCTCTCATTGCAATTGGTCACCTCTGTGCCACCAAAAAAAAAAAGCCAAACAAACAAAAAAAAGGCCAAACCCCAAACTTCAACCACAGTACATGGAGTTCCTCACATAGTAGATTGCTTACATGGACTCTCTTGCTACTTTAAAAGTTAAAAGATACAAGTTTTTATTTATATCTGTAATAGACCGGTAAGCTTACAGGCTCACAATAGATGCAACAAGCCCAGAAATCACCTTAAATTCTAAAATTCTACGTTGTTTTAAATCAAATACCACCTCCTTTCTTCCCCTCCCTCCCTGGCTGTCCCAAAACAGCTTTTTCCTCTCAATGTGAAGGTTTTCTCCAGAAAGAAAATTATCTGGAAAAGAAGAAATGTTGTGGCACATCATTTGTTCCTGTTTCAGATGAAACCCAGTATTGAGTAAATCATCAGAACTAGATGCAGAAACGATTCACTGTCCCCACATGAAACCTCTCCCACCTTAGGAAAGGAAATGTGATCCTAGCTCGTTTTTGTAGCTTATGAGATCTACACCACCAAAACAGAGAGATTCACTTGCCAGAAAAGCCACCAGAGACAGGCTGCAGAAACAGCTGAAATTAGATATTGTCGTTAGTTGCTCCAAAATCTGCACAGCTGCACCAATAGCTGCAATGACACCAAAAGGTTTTACTGACAAAGGAATAAGTGTGCGTGTGCACACACCCATGCACACACATTTTGTCCTGAAAAAGTACATAAAACAAGTCCCACGAGGCAGATGTTTAAAAACTATTAGACGTTCCCTAGGGATGCA